TTCAGCCCATGTTAGTCACAGTAAAAAAGCATTGGAGCAAGTTAGACAGCATGGCCCTAAGTCCCTCTTAGATGTACATTTATTCATAGATCCACTTTGTTCAGTATGTTTTCAGTTACTCAAAGATAAGTTTGCATAGCTTTAGTCAGGACTAATTTTACCTGCATCAACAGTCTCTCTTAGTGCCTAACAACTCTCCATTTTGTGGAACTTGGAACTGTTCTTTGAAAGAGTATTGACCTGTGGGCTAGAATTGAGGTTATGGGTTATGTTTATTACCATTATGTGATCATCTGCCCCCAGTTGCTGCCAGAAATGCTTGAATCAGAGGAAATAGGGGACTCCAATGGTGAAGGCTGCCTTAATCCCTTAATCCAGCAGAGTAGAACCTCTGTCAACTCAAGGGCCCAATTCTATTTTGGTAGACCACTCCAGTGGCAGATGGGCCAAAGGTCAAAGTGGATAGGGTAAAAATGTCTAAAATATCAGTATATTGTAGCTTAAAGTTATTGCTGCTGTCACTAAACTTTAGAAAAGCTACGTCAATGATTTAGAAGCAGGAAAAATGCACAAAAGCCAGGAAACCATTCAGCACTTGGCAGAAAACAGATTGTGAGTGGGAAAGCGTGTGTGGCCATCTGGAGAACTTCAGAGGGCCAAACTGGAGACTCCAGCAGGGTCAAATTTGGTGCTTGGATCTGAGATTCTGCACCTGTGTCTTTATCAACCACTTGGTTGTCTTGTACTTCATTAACTTGCCTGATTTTTTTGTGTGGCCTTTGTTTGCTATGCTTTGTCATGCAACAGACCACATGTGTTTACACTTCTCCAATTATCTTTGAGTGCCTGTTACCTTTTACACCACTATTTAAAAAGCCAGGATAAACAATACCCTCCTATTGAAGGTGTCCACTGACCACTGGATTTCCCTTGCCTCTTGAAACTAACAACTTTATAATACAATCATTTTAACCCTTTTCCCCTCTTTATCCTTTTTTGACTAAGTAGAATGAGACAACTAGGGAAGACTGGAACCTATATTTTCCACTTTTGCATTCTATAGGTGTGTAGTGGTACATTGCACTTCAGAGGTCTGGCAAGGTTCATATTCACCCATAAATTAGATCAATTTGATCTAATTAGATCAACCATGAAATCCAAAAACCTATACCAGGATCTTCCTTGATGTATGATCACTTATATTGCAAATATTCTATGAATTGGCAATACCCATGCACATTGGCTGCATTTAAAAATGACAACCCCTGTACTTCAAAAAGTTGCTCTTTAATATTATGTTAGTTCCAGCACTTCCGAACAGCAGTCCATGCAAGCTGAAGGATGTTCTAAACTACCCTTTTCTATCATTAGCAGTAGGAGTCATTTCTCCTGCTGTTTACAGAGAGACAAATCTACCATCAGGAGTAACACCTGTCTCACATTCTGGGGGAAATGTTAACAGTGTAATAAAGGTGTTTGTCTTTGGAAAAACTGTGTGACCTTCAGAGGAAGTTCTCAGTGTCTTTTCTCAGAGGGATATTTGTGTATTATTTCATTGTTCTATGGATACCCTAAGCATTTCTCAATATCTGGAAAAATGTAACAAGGACTTTGGGTCTGCATCTGTATCAGTAATAACCAATTCCTGCATTTGTATGAACTTGTTCTTCAGTCACCCTTCTGGGGACAGGAAACATATTTTCTACATAGCCCAATTCTTTTCCAGGTGATTGGGTTCTACAACAGGGTGGAGAAATTAGATCCAAAGTGAGGACATAATGATAAGATGTGAATCAATTCCATATTTTGAAATTGATGATCCCTTCCTTAGCAGTGCAATTGTGAGTAACCTGATTACTGTACCTTGACTAAAAATTATTGTAGTCAACAGACCCAAATGAATTTGCCTCAAGGACAAGTCTGTAGGCCAGCAATTGTGCATCCATGATCCATACCACTCATAGCTAGACTAATCCTCCTAGTAGCAGAAGGAACTGAGCACACACACACACACACACACACACGTACATTTGGAGCTAGTCATATTTCTGGTATAGACCTCTGCTCAATTGGTTACAATCAGTGAGGTTTGACTGAAGCAAAAAAACAACCCCCCCCCACCACATTTTCTCATCATTATCAATCAAAACTGCATTTACACATCTTTCTTTACTATGATCTTACTAATGCTATATATTTTTTATTGAAGACTCACTGCCACCTGTGGCTCCAAAAGGGGTACTGCATGTCAGTTGTCACACAATGGCCTTTACAGAAGCCTTTCTCAAGGGTTTTCCCATGTACCTTCCAGTTTGCACATCCAGTGGATTCCTGACATCTTCCAAAGAGCACCACCACTAACAGAGTGTGAGCTACTTGCACATACATGGCCATTCTCCGTTGTATCACACACCCACTGTAACACACTCCATATGTTATTAAAGGAACACAAACTTGAAAACTAGGAACAGCTTTTGCAGACTTATTTACACTGACTTTCCTTAGCTTGTAAGGGATTAGGACACTGTTCAGTTTATTGTTTTTGCATTATTGCTTTTCGGGTAATGTTTTTAACTACTTATTTTTATATTTTTTATACAGTATTATTTACAAAGAACCATTTAGAGTTAAGATATTAAGCAGGATACAAGTAGTATATATACATACAATAATAAAGTGCATTAAATTATTCCAATGAATTAGTTATTTTGAATGAATTGCATAATTGCTTTTGACAAATCATTTTGCCTTGTGATTTAACTCACATTTACTACATAGTTCCTCTTCCCATTTTCCCCTTAGTTCAACAAAATAACTCAGAAAATGGTATAAAAGCTCAGAGGCAAGATAAATATATAGAGCTAAGTGCAGCATAGATGCTAAGCATGTGAGCCATCAATCTCACCTTATCCGTATCACTAGCCAACCTGAGAAAAGCCATCATCTCTCACAATCCCGTACTTGGGTATTAGCTGACTGTACAAGGCAATTATAAGGTTTATAACTGTTATAGCATTCAAAGTCCTAAATGGCTTGCCCCTAGGTTATCTGAAGGATTGCCTCAGCCCATATGTACCTACCCAGACTCTGAGGTCATCTTTGGGGGCCCTTCTCTGGAAACCCCTTCCAAAATTAGAGAGGCAAATGGCTACCAGGAGGGCGTTTTCAGTAGTCCCACCTCTGTTGTAGAATGAGCTCCCCAAAGAGATGCACCTGGTGCCTACTTTGTGCTCTTTTCAGCACCAGGTGACCTTTCCATTCCCCCACCACTTTAACAGTTTAACAAGTGGCTTAAACTTGTTTTTAACTTCATTTTTAACACTGCATGCTGCATCACTGCTATGCTTCTAAGCTGATTTAATTGCAGTTGTTATTGTGGTTTGTTGTTTTGTTAGTTTAGTGTGTGTTTGTGCATTTAAATTTTTCTTTACTTTTGTTAATCACTCAGAAAGCCCTGGTTATTGGGAAATATAAAAAAATGAGGATAAACTATATGAACTACACTAAACTACCAAAAATCACTACAGCATCGACAAGTGTTTTCATATACTGTTCACACAGTGTATGAAATACTATGTTGTAATAAATATCAGGCTTATTTGTTACAGAATCCTTCCTAATTTGTCAATAGGCTTATTCAGTCATTATATTCGTATCCCTTCCCTACAGTCCCAATCAAGTCAATGGTATTTTTTCATAAGTATTCTCAATAGTTGGTCATTGAATATGATTTCAAAAGCTTGTATACTAGGAGCATAACAAAGTGAGCAGCTATTGTTTGCTGACATTTTAATTGCTGATGAGCTGGCTTTATATTCCCTGTGATTTGGTGCTATTCAGTGCTACCAAGATTCTTACATAGAGGTGTCTCAGCTCCTGAGGATCTGTGCTTTCTTTATACAAATTTCTAGTCTCTATGGCTGTAGAAAAGATTTTAAAAACAAGGGATACCAGAAAGGTAAAGAGGACAGCTGAGGCTTTCTTAAATCTCCCTAGTCATCACATATTCTGCTCATACCCCATAGTGACTCACACCTTTCGATCCTTGGAGTCCTGTACTCAGTTCTGGCTAAATAACTCAGCAATACACTGGCCAAAGCAATCATAATTTATTAGGCAAAGTGAACACAGCCTTAAAGCACAATTTTTTTTCAGGTCTGTTTAGTATACTTTCCCAGGAAAGTAGTACACACTGATTTTTGATAACATTAAAAAGTATGGAGCTGCCAAAGCATGTAATTTCCTATTGTTGAGGTAAGTTTTACTTGCATTACAATAAGCAGGTGTGCATATGCACACACAGAATATACAGAGCTTCATGCTTTATAGCAGGTAGAAGTAAATGAGCAGAATAATATGAATTTTCAAGAATGGATGAAAGACAGTTATAGCTAAAGCCTGTGACCCAATCAATGCATACTATTTCAGTCACAGTGACATTTAATCAATGAGATTATACTTGTGCCATCAGATAGTGAATCAACAGGATTAAGTTAGCTTAAATTTAAGGAATTCAGTTTACCCAAATTCTGGTTCAGACTGTTAATGTGGCTGCTTTTGTCATGAAAAGGTCCCAAAGGGCCTCACAGTGACTTAATATTACCAAAGCAACTAGCTATTTTATAGGCTTCTACGAAAAAGCTGATATTGAGTGGCTGTCACATGCAGGTAAAATCAACAGCAGTGAAAGAACAGAACTCCTCTCTTCAGCCATGGGACAACCACTGAACTAGAGTCCAATGTCACATCAGTGCATTGCTCATAAGGTTTACCAGTCTGCTTCACTCCATACATTCCCACATAGTACCATATCAACATTCCTCATACCTCAAAATTGTTTATAATTTCAAGAAGACCAACACAGAGTACTTATTATAAAGCTGAATATTCTTTACTCTGGTTGCAAATGAATTCTACATTCATGCTTTAGAGAGAGCTTAAAATGTGTGACATTGTAAGACAACAAGATGAATGTAGTAAGAATATACTCCTACAACATATTCATTGGTCAGCCAACTTTAATAGTGATATGATCAATTAAATGTACAGTAACTACATTAATCAATCCAGACATATTCTAATTGTACAATTAATTTCTGAGTGCATTTGATTATTTACATACACTTTAACAGTCAAAGTGTAGCAGTGAAATTTTATTGAAAAGGTTCATTTCTTTATTTTCCATCTATCTTGGGACTGTGTCTTATCAAAACATTTATATTTGTATTTTCACTGCTATGTGGTCAATCCAGTGTGAACCAAGATGGCCGTTTCCTGTTTCTTTCTATGATCCGCTTGCCTTCATCTTGCTCCCTGGGTTTCTCACCTTCATACAATACAATAGTTTCTACGGTAGGTGCCTTATGAGGTCCTCCTTCATGTGCCCATATTTGCTTCCTTATGGCAAGAGTTTCCTGTTTAACCTTTTCATAACAATAGCCACAAAGAACATGCTTCTGTTTCAAGTTGCCACACTGAGGACAGACATCTATGTTTGTCTAAAAGGCAAGAAAGAAAATCTTAAAATGCATGGTAACAGAGAAAACAGTCACAAGGGCTAAGAAATAGGTATATGAGTAACTATTTGAATCTCATTACTATTTTGATACAAAATATGAATTTCCAGAAAGCTGAAATAGCTTTCATGTCAGCTAGTACAGAAAGCTTTACATCTTGAAAGAACCACAGCATCATCTCATTTTAACATGAAGTTTTGGCATAGGAGCAGGAAATTGATGACATACCATATTTTCATGTGCAGTACATACAGTGCCATGCAAAATTCACAATATGTGAGACAAGTTCATATTTTATTAATTTATATAACTTTCATAAACATATTTAGCTTGCTACTAAATACATATTTTGAATTATCAGATTATCATTATAACGCCCCAGCAATACCTGTGAAGCATATACAACTGTGGGTTGCACTGATACACCTGTATACAAGTGTATATAACCCAAAATACTTACTTCAAGACAGTGGGTTGGATTCAGAGTTAGTTACACTTAGAGTAGACTCACTGAAATAAATCGATTCTACAAACAAATATGACTAGGTATAAGATAAGATAGCACTCTACAAGTACTTGAAGTGCTGTCACAAAGAGGAAGGACAGGATCTCTTCTTTATCATCCCAGAGTGCAGGACATGGAATAATGTTACATGAAGTTAAATTCTGGCTAGATACTGAGGAGAATTTCCTGACTGTTAAGAGCTCTATGACAATGAAACTAATTACCTGGAAAGACTGAGGCTTTCACACAGTAGGGGCATTCAAGATGCAACTGGATAGCCATCTGAGAGGGATGGCTTAACTGGGACTCCTACTCCGAGCAGAGGGTTGGACCTGATGTTCTTCTGGCCCCTTCCAACTCTACTATGATTCTACTGTATGACTAGTTTTGCGTTTTAGTTTAGTTTTTGTGCTGGGCTATAAAAAAAGTTTACATTCTTAACTAATCAATAAAGTGCTTTGCTCAGTGCCAAAGCTTATGTTTCTATAAGTTAAAGCCATGATCTTATAAAAGTACTTCTGACAGATATTTCTGCTCAAAATCAGCAAGTGTGAATGCATTCAAGGTCAATGATGAGCACAGCTTACTTTAGAATCAGCAAAACTAATGCTTAATAATATGCATGGTATTGATTACACTAATCTTAATCTTGAGAAAATTACAATGAACAACCATTACAACATATGAATGAGATGTCAAAGCCAATAGAATTGTTCTGAAGTACCTTTAACTTTATAAGCTTCCTAAAGTCTCTTCGCCTGCATCGATTCACTTCAATGGTCCGCCTTGACTTTGGGGCTGCCATCCAAAATATGCTGTCTAAAAAGCTTGGAGTCTCATCATATTCAGTTTTTTCTTCCACAGGTTCCAGCAAAGCTGGGGCCTGAACAGCCAAAGCAGGAGCTTAAACAGGACATCAAGATGGCATTACAAATAAACTGCTACCTTAAATTTCCTAAGCTTTATCAATCAGATGCAAAACTGAACAGGATAGTTCATTCAATGTAAGTCTTTCATTGAATTTTTTGGGTGGGTGGGGAGTATGAGCAAATAACATCTAGAACTAACCATATATACCTCTGCCCCATACATGTTTACTGAGAAATAAATCTTGCTGTGTTAAATGTGGCTTATCACTAAGGCTGCAATCCTGAACAAATTAATAAGGCGGTAAGTCCTACTGAAAAGGGACTTCTGAGGAAACATGCACAGGGTTGCATCCTAGGGCAAGCTCACAAATGGATTAAATATTGCTCCTTTGTTTCTCCTCCAAAACACTGTATTGCTCCTGTATTTTATAACTTTGCAGTCTGAGACTATGAACTAGATGCTGGTTTTGGCCTTTTACATACACCTGTATGGATTTTGGCAAACACTAATATCAGTATCTGCAGCCCAACTTTCTGGCCCACCAGGAAGAACCACAATGGTCCCACATCTTCAGAACTTTCTTCCTATATGTATGCATTTTTAAAACAAGAAGTAAACCAGGACATATATTTATCTCAGCCTGCAATTGGTGCATGAAAAATATTAGCTACTGCTACTATTGCTCTGTGCATATTTGCATGTATAACACTGTGAGACACCTTATAAAGGCAATGGATCCTGAACAAATAGACTAAAACATTTTCATTGATTACCACATAGATCACAAATTTAGAAACTATTTAAAGAATACCCCAATACCCACCATACCGCTATGATCCATTTTAACCAAATCTCAGTTTCTATTCTACCACAATCTCTGCTTTACTCTGTAAGGCTTTTGCACGGGGAAGGAGCAGCAGCAGAACAACTAGTCAACACTCTAGCCTTCTTTGTGAGCAGTCAGGCTGGGGTGCTACTCAAGAAGAGATCAAGAAGCAGCAACACTCACTTCACAGCACCATACTTCAAAGCAAATGTACAGCAGATTGTCAACGCTGCCTGGGAACCTCCACCAAATTGCTTGCCTGAGGTGGCTGTGAAGGAAAGAGGCGCCCTGCCTCTGCTGAACTCCGTTCTGGGCAGAGATGCACAAAAACTAGAAAGGGTTCAGAGGAGGGCAACAAAGATAATCCAGGGTTTGGAAACCAAGCCCTAGGATGAGAGAGGTTTGCCTGGCGCCGATGCTTTTATTTTTCAGTGCCAGGCAAAACTCTTTTTATTTTCCCATTATTTTAATACTTAATCGGTTTTAATGTGGTTTTTATACTACTGAATTACTAGATGCTGTACCCTATTTTTATCTGTTGCTTTGTTGTCAACCGTCCCGAGACGCCGGTAGATGGATGGTCTATAAAAGCCTTAAACAAACACACAAATAAATAGAGACTGGGTGAGCTGGGCATGTTCCACCTCAAGAAAAGAAGACTGAGAGAACATATGATAGTATTTTAAAAGAAACTCAAAGACTGTCACAAAGAGGAAGGAAAAGACCTCTTCTCACTCATCCTTGATGAGTGTGGGACACGGAACAACGAACAAACTGCAGCACACCAGATTCAGGCTAGACACCAGGGGCAACAGAACAGTACAGCCAGTTGCTAAGGAAGTCGAGGGCTGTCCCACACTAGAGACATTCTAGGTGAAACTGGACAGCCATCTGAGTGGGATGGTGTGACTTGGCGTCCTGCACCAGCGGGGGGGGGGGTGCACCCGGTGGCCTCCTCGGCCCCTTCCGACCCTATTATTCTACGAATCTTGAGAACTAGTCTGTTGCACCAAGTGCAGACACACAAGCAATGCGCCACAGACACCTACCCCAAGGAGGGCTGCGGCTGCCGAGCTGCGCCCAGCAGCTTCGGAGAAAGGCACCGAGCTTCGGCAAAGGGTGCCTTTGGAACACCAGCAGCACTGCCATGCTGTCAGGCCTTTCTCTTTCTGGGCTCCCTTCTGGCCCTTCCAGTCCAACCACAGGGCCTGAAAGGAGGAGCACGCATCGGCTGCAGAGGATGCCGGGATGTCCAGTTCCTTCGCTCCCTTCCGCCTCTTTTTCGTTCAAGTTCTTCTTTGCGAAGAGCTGAACTACAATTCCCAGCAACCCCGCTGAGTAAAGTCTCTTAACTTTTCGATCTCAGCACGCACTGCGTTGCGCCGAGACTACAATTCTCAGAAGGCGCAACAGAATGACAATGATTCCGAGATTTATAAAATCAAACAAGACAAAGTATAAGTCGGAGGCGTATTTGATTTTATTATAGAGATACCATGGGCTAGAGCGGCAATCTCGACGCTCACGGTTAACAAGTCGCTTTCCCGCTTCACCGGAAATTCTGTCTATACATCCTTCCCGGCGTCCCTTTCCTTCGGTGTGTCGTCAATGAAGCAAGCGCTCGCGCTCGCGCTGAGCTCCGAGTGTGCGCAGCCGCAGAAGTGGGAGCCGGTTGCGAGAGGGAGGGGCGAGTGGAGGTGTTCAGTCGCGCTGGTCAAAATGGCGGAACGCGGGTACAGCTTCTCTCTCACCACATTCAGGTAGGAGAGGCTCTTCTGGAAGAAGCCCGTGAGGTGGGCGCGCGGTTGAAGGGGACCAGAGGCCCGGGCCACTCAGGACCAGTGCGTAGGGGGATATGCAGGCTGGCTAGCGCTCATGTATTCCGCGAGGCAAGAGAAGGTCCAGATTTTGTGGAGTCACGGCTGCTGCTTGCCCTGCACGCACCGCTTCGCTGAATCGCCCTCCAGGGGCAAGTGGCGGCGAAATCACTGTAAAGCCTCAAGCCACCTCGCATGGGAGCCCATGAGTCCGATATTCGAGTGCAGTAACGGGCACTTTGGGAATCTTGCTCAGATTACTAACCCAAGACAGGCCTCGTTTCTGTAGAAATGGGGATTGTCTCTTGGTTCACAGCCTTTACGGACTTAGCATGTAGGGATAGAGCTCCCAAAGCAATACAGAACATTTATTTTCCATGTAATTTATTTTTGTGGATTACTACTCCTCTTGAGGAACAAAATTCTAGTTGAAAAACGTTAAATCGCAAGCAAGTTCAGCTGCTTTCAATTGCAATGCAATCCGATGCATGCTTCTATTTGGAATTAAGTCCCACTGAGTTCTGTGGGCAAGTGTTCAGGATAACCGTGCGTTTAATCAAGATAAGCTTTGCTCTTACAGTATCATCTTAGTACTCTACTTCCGATTTTCAGTTTCAAGCTTTAAAATTTTTGATTTGAGACTATACAGTAGTCAAGGCAAGGAAGTTTTTCTCATGGCTTTGTGACAGTTTAGTTGGGCTTACTAAAAGATTACTTATTTGGAGAATACAGATTACTGTTTGTAGGATTTCCTGTAACATAAACGTGGCTATCTGCACATTTTGCCTAACTCAATTCTATACTGTTTTATTTCACTGACAGAGTTAATGATTGGACTGTCCATTATATATCACGTTACTATGTTTTATATAAAATATAAGAGTGATGGATGAGTAGCCATATTCTATATTTATTCAGAAATGCTGATTGACTTTTCCCAAGAAAAGTTAGGTCGCGATAAATACAGGAGAATCAGAGGAAATCGAAATCGAAAGTGCTGACACACTTGCAGTATTAAACGCTTCCCCAAGTTAACTACCTGAAAAATAGATTGAAAATGGATTGCAGCAGCCAGCCACTTTTCATGTAAAGAGTTTTGGTTGTGTTTCACTAGTTGCTTGGTTCTTTGGATCCTAACTAGCTACTAATAAGGATCTGTGAATAGCAATTCATTCCGAGCTTTTCAACTGTGCTCTGGTTATGTAGAGTAGCAAACATCTAGGTCTGCACTGACTTGTCACATGTATGGGGATTTTATGAACAATTCTTGTATTCAGATTCTGTGGAGCATACCTTTGCAAATGTCTTTTTAATTTCAGTTGGGATTAACAGATAATCCCAAATTAATTAGTTTTGATTCTACTCCAGTGCTATAGCTTACAGTGCTATCTTATGCATCTTTCCTTGGAAGGAAACACAAGTAGTAAGTGTTAATTAGTAAGTTTGTTTTAAGTTTTTTTTTCCTTTTGAAAATGATTTTAAGCTAATAACCCTCCAGAAATAAAACAACTGAAAATAAAACTATTTCAGCACCTTTCTTGGAAATTTTTGGTTTGGGATTACCAGAAGCCTGTTGCCTGGCTGGACCTAAACTAATGAATGTATGACTAAGCATGTTTACTCCAAAGTAAATTCCAGTATGATCACTAGTGTCTCCCCCCCACCCCCGCAAAGCAACAACAACTTCTCTGCATAAAATTGCAGTTGTACACATATTTTTTTTTTCAGAATAATAGGTTTCGAGTCTTTTCTTGTATGTATGGTTCATTTGTAAAATGTGATCACTGTTTTTTCTGAAAAGAGACTAAGTCAATTTGCTAGGCTTTTTCAGATTTGAAATTTGTTTCCTCACTGTGTTGTCTCATGTATACTTCTCTTAGTCCTTCTGGAAAGCTTGTTCAGATTGAATATGCTTTGGCAGCTGTTGCAGCAGGAGCCCCATCGGTTGGAATTAAAGGTATAAAAATGCTAACATGAGTGATATAAACAAAAATGCTAGTACACAGTATGCCCGGGTACCTATTTTGACAGTTTTTTGTTTGTTTGTTGTTTCATCCCACTTCTGTGCTGCCCCATAACCCAATGAGCAGCTTATAAATGCTTAGTTTGTGACCTAAAAGGGGGGAAAGTGAACTTCTAAAACTGTTGTCTGATCTCCTGGAGACAGTTCTTCTCTGGCAAAAGCAGAATGTAGCTATTAAGTCTGCTGTAATCTGATGGCTTGAAAAAGATGTAAAAGCACCCTTGCCTATACTGTAACTAGATTTGATATAACTCTCTACAAAGTGTCTGTTTGGTTTGGTGATTTAACCTGTTTCTGTTAACTTTGTGTTTTACCTGTCTTTTTATTTTTACTTTTTTGTATTTTATTGCAAATTCTGTATGTTACTGCTGTTAATTCCCCTGAACACCATTTAACAGAAAGATGAGAAAATTAAATGAGCAAAATGGATCAGATCAGATGAACCCTTTCCAGATTGCCCATCTTCCTGCTTGAAAAAATGGTTGCTGGGAATGGGCTTGTGGTTCTGGGAACATTTCAAGTCCCTATCACCAGTTTTTTGCCCATCTGAGCAGCGCTTTAATTTTTACCTCCACCACCATTCTTGCATTTAGGAGTAGCAAATCAGACACATGAGTTTGGTCTACCTTTAGAGCTAAACTAGACATTGGCAATCACATCCTGGCTAGTTTTGGATGGAAGATTCCTTGGGAATCATACATATGCCACTCACAGGCTTAAGGCTTAGAGAAAGGAGGAGAAATTTTCGCATACACAGGCTTTCCTTTTCATCAGAGGGAAAATGGTGCATTGCACAAATACTTCATATGTATAGTTACATTTCTCATATAGAAAGACAAATTGCTGTATGTTCAGGGTTCCAAAGTATATTTTATATCTATAAGAAATTAGAAATCTATATATAACTGTTTTTAATTTAACTGAATGTATTTTTCTCTAAGATAATACTTTCAATAATATTGGTAATCTGAAAGTATATTTCTTATGTGTTAGCATAAAATATAGGATTTATATGGTGCAATCATAAACCAGTAAATTAATTTTTCTAGCCATTGCCTTGAAACAGGGAAGATTTGATGGTTTGAAAGGGAAAGAAGAAGAAGGTGTTCTACACCGAATAAAATGTTTGTTTGTCTTTATATAGCTGCAAATGGTGTGGTTCTGGCAACAGAGAAAAAGCAGAAGTCCATTCTGTATGATGAACGGAGTGTACATAAAGTGGAATCCATTACCAAACACATAGGCTTGGTGTACAGTGGCATGGGCCCTGATTACAGGTATCTGGGAAAATTAGCATTATGAAATACAGCATTTTTAGGCTTGAGGGATGCATGTGATACTGTGTTAGGAGCCACATATAGCCTTGCTCATGCATACACAGAAAGACATACATGCACACACATTGCTGGTGATTGTGATATAGATTTCCTACTGTTCTGGCAGTGAGGAAAGGGCAAAGTGCAGTCTGTATTGAAATATTTGAGGGAAGAAGATCACACAAGTGGTAGGGGGAAGGAATTTGGTGGTGGGTTTAGGGTAACCCATGGTGAGTACAGTAGAGGCTTTTGGGGCTTCATATTGTGCACCGCTCTAATAGACCCTTACTATTGGGCTTTGTTGTTTTTCTGTGGTGGGTGGTACCCAGCCCATGATGTCATTTCAACATCTTATTAGTGTGTTTGAACAGAAGGGAGACATCTTAGCCTTTTACAAGGACTGGACATCTGCAAGCAAAAGTCTCCCTTGCAGACTTACACTTAATGTGTGTGCCTCCTTGAGGGCAGAACCAATGTCATAGTCATGCAGCTCCATTCTACACTTTCCCTTTACTTAGGATTCCTTCTCCCAAGTTTCTGTGCCCAGCTGTGTCTTCTTTATTGGCATGCAAATAGATTGAAGGTCTTCTGTGGCTTTTCTTCTGTTAGAAACATCTGAAATATTCTGAAATACTGGTTCTGTACCTAGCATGACTAAACTTTTTCTGGTCCTGTTCCATGGTATTAGGTCTCTTTGCCAACTGCATTGGTAAGCACTATCAATTCATGGGCTAATATCTTTGAATCATGCTTGGAGATCATGGTCTGCCACTTCCTAGGATAATATGGAGCTTAGAGTGGTTGCTTACCAGTTATTGGATATCTTTAGTTCATGCACATCAAATACACAAGTACAAGGCAGGTGGAAAGGCAGTGTGAGATAAGAGTATTTTAACTCTAAAACTGCAGAATTTTATATGTTGTGCCTATGTTCCATATTTCTAAGAAATACATGGTTGTCTGCTGTGAGATGCTGATCTATATGTGTTCTTGTTCTGATCCAGCATGTGAAATGCATACTTTTACCATTGAGTACCTCCTTCAGTGTTTATCACATGTGTTTGGGATGGCATTTGGGTTGCTGTATCCCAGCAAACTTTACCTTCAATAACTGGTATTGAAGAATACTTCAGTTTAAAAATTTCAAGTTGTTTTGGATCTGAAGCCCAAATGGTTATGCTAACTATTTACTTTATTTTGTTTTGCCAGAGTACTTGTTCACAGAGCACGTAAATTGGCCCAACAGTACTACTTGGTTTATCACGAGCCCATTCCAACAGCTCAGCTAGTACAGAGGATTGCTTCTGTGATGCAAGAATACACGCAATCTGGGTATGCTATTTTTTTCCCTAAGCCCTACCACTTTCAAATTCACTCTTGTTTCACCTCTTGCATTCTTTTCATCTCAGAGCAGTAGTGGGCATCTTCTTGACAAGTGTAGCAGAGGTTAAACCCAAAATACAATTCTCTGTCCCTCTTGCTCTTCAACTAAAATTTATTAATGGTTGTACATAGATTAGACAGTACCTTGTGTAGTTTTCCTACATTAGCGTGCCTTGGTTGGCGCTATGACTCCAGTCTACTGCACTGGGGGACAGCATATAGTTCTGGACATAAAAGCAGGCTTGTCTCTATGAGCATGGTTATGGCATAGACTCTCCTGTTCCTTTTCTTTTTCTGCACATTTTTGGAAATGTGGAAATTTTCCACACAAATTTGGAAATGAAAACTTTTGTTCATTTAATCTAGTATAGTAGAGAGTCCACAGCCTCAACAACAATGCCACAGTCTGTTGTTTGCTGCATATAGCCTGACAGCGGTTACCTGCATTCATGCAAAGGCAAATGAAGAGCAAGAAATACAGTGACTGCTGTATATCTGGAGGCCAACTTCTCTCATTGCCCATAATACATGTCTTTTCAATGCTCTTAGTGGTATGTAGGCTGAGGTTTTATTTGTGATCTGTAGTTCATAGTACGTTTTTGCCAATCTTGAGTGGCAGTTTGCCTTGCTCTCCTACATTTTTAACAGCAACTGGACTTGCTGAGGTTAAGTCATTGTGTCTTTTTTATCACTACATATTCATTCCTGCAAAATCTTCTCCTGAATGTTACACTGATGTTGAAAGTGATAGGAGCAGGACCATACAAACAGTTGATAGCTTTCAAAGACTGAGGCATGCACCAGATCCTCGCATTAACTTTTAAATGATGAAGAGGAGGGAAATGTAATGAAGTGCATGTATTAGTAGATGAGTCAGCAGCACCCTTAATGATGATCTTAAGGGCTTCTTGGATAACTTTGGATGTCAGTAATCCTTTTCAAAACTTTTTCCAGAGGTGTACGTCCATTTGGTGTATCATTGCTAATATGTGGGTGGAATGAAGGACGACCATATTTATTCCAGTCTGATCCATCTGTAAGTATTAAAACCTAGGCTTCTTCATGATAAACTTGAATGGGACACCAACAAAGCTAACATAGTAATTGGGACTTCCTTTTTTCTCTTTCTAAGAATTAGTTGTTTTTAATTGAGTGGGTAATGCTAAGCAACAGAGCAGAATAAGTTTCAAGACTGTTGCTAGGTTTTGGCTGGTCACTTTTAAAATTGTAAAAGAGATCTTGCTAGATCAGGCCAAGGATACAGCCAGTCCAGTATCTTGTTTCTTTGATGAAAGCCTTCAAAAAGGGCATGAGCTAATGCAATCCTCCACTATTGCTTGACTCCCTCTTACCTCAGTAATTCATATTCACAGGCATACTGCTTTTGAATTTAGAGGCTCTGTATAGCTATGACAAACAGCCATTGCTAGACCTGTCTTCCATTATTTTGCTTAATCCATATTTAAAGCCATTTAAGCCAGCATCCATCATCATGTTCCCACAAATAAATTATGCCTTGTCCAAAGAAACACTTTATCTGTCCTGTACCTGCTGGCAGTCAGTTTTTTATGAGGAAACCCTGAATTCCAGCACTGCACAAAGAACATTACTTTTCTCTCACCGCTGCTTTCTCCTAGCAGTTCATAACTTAGAGAGTACAAAATTATTGAGACAATTTATGCCCTGATTTTATTTCCAATGTAAAATAAAACTTGTTAGATTCTGCCAGATCACCTGTCTTTCTGTGTTGCTGTAATAATTAGGTATACTGTCTCAAAGAGAATGCTGCTTTCTCCCATCTCCTGTTTCATGGTCTGATCAAATCTTAATAGCTAAAATGTCCTTGAGCTAGAGTCTCTTCCATATACTGTATCAGACCATCAGTAACTCTAGCCAACTACTATCATGTGGCTATTTCCCAGCCAATGGAATGCGTGACTATCCTTGCCCTCCAGGAATCCCTGATCTGCATAAAATCTACTTTTCAAACTCTTAAGGCCTCATGGTTCTTTCCATACAAAAGAATATGTATTTTGTATCTTTCCATGCAAACAGAATAAATGTTATTGTATAAGCATCACTAGGCATGCTATGTGTGTCAAGTTTCACACCAAATTCTTAAATTGTTTTTAACTCAAGATTTAAATAGCACTTTAGGAGTTCAGCAGGTGGTGGTGTTAAAGCAGAACATCTGGTATAAATGCATCAGTAACGAGGTCATGCTTTAGGACTGAGGCTAGTCTCAACTTATTTTTATTTCTTCCATTGCCTACAAAAACGAAATTAAGTGAGGAACTAAAATATATCCAAGTAGATAACTAGTTTTATGTAAGACTATTTTACTGAATTTTCAGTGAATAGAAAGCAGTTTAAGAATGTTTTCCTAATTAGTTAGATTTTTTTTCACTTCTCTAGGGGGCTTACTTTGCATGGAAAGCAACTGCGATGGGAAAGAATTACGTGAATGGAAAGACATTCCTTGAAAAAAGGTAATAATGCTATTTTACTGTTCCTGAGATTGATTTACAGTATGTAAAAATTCTCAAGGTAGTAGAAACTTCAATGAGTCATATGTTTTTGTTGGTAGTCTTCCATTTCAAGCATGGCCTTTTTTTTAGCAACTGAATTACGGCTGAGATGTAACTAACAGTGTAAGAATTGCATTTGCAGACTGGCCAAGAAAATAGTTTGCCTTACTCAGTTCAAGCTTGTTTTTGTGTGGCATGTGTTAGGTATGTAGATCCCATAGATTTGATCCCACAGTTGCTCAATACAGTAGGAGCAGAGGCTGCAAACACAACTAGCATGCACGTGTGAGGGAAACCTTTACCTGCTGGTTGGCATTCAGAAACTTTTGCTGATGTCCAAACATAATTTAAATATGTCTAAGAACTTGTGTCTAATCGGTGTATGTTTGTTTTTGAAAAATAAGCCTTCCCTGTCATGCTTTTGAAGCTCCTTATGTTTCAAAAGGAATTTGACCTGTAACATAGGGAGGTCTTTGTGAAACAGAACACATGGGCATATAGAAGTAGTTTTACAGTTCTGTGGATTTTGGCTATTGATCTTACAATAGTTTTTGAAAGAATATCTTATATCTATTAGAAAAAGGTTTTCCTCTTCTTGCAGATACAATGAGGATTTAGAACTTGAAGATGCAATTCATACAGCTATCTTGACACTAAAGGTGAGGGCCATATCCAGTGATTTTGTTAACATCTTAGTATCTAGATACATTTTCTTTTATAAAAGTGTGTTTTTTCTCCTCTCTAGGAAAGTTTTGAAGGTCAGATGACAGAAGACAATATAGAGGTTGGCATCTGTAATGAGGCAGGATTTCGGAGACTCACTCCAACTGAAGTTAAGGATTATCTGGCTGCAATTGCCTAACGTGGGTTAAAGGACACTGCTCAATACAGAGAGCTGTCTTTTGTTTTTGGTTCTTTTTTTAACTTCAGCCATTTACGTATTTGGCTGCTGCACTCTCCTTTCTACTTTGTTCATCTAAAAGATTTTTTTAAGAGAAATATTATGATTCAAATGCTACTGTCCTATTACTGAGATGTGGAGCTATTGTTCTTAACACATTAAATGCTGTACAAGAATATTACAGGAGTTTACAGTCTGAAAAAATAAACATACAAGTGGTGGAATAAATCCTGGGTAAAGCTTAAAGATGTTTAATTTTACTGAGTTACTTCTAACTTTCCAGATTTTGTTAAGGAGTCTTACATAGCTTTAAAACATGAATTTTAAATCCTTTTGGTGCTATCTTCTTACAGCGCAATGCTACACATATTTAGACAGAAAACAACTCCTACAATTCTCAGGACTGAGGGTGTCCTAGGAGCTGTAGGATTGTCTATTATATAAACATGCATAGGATTTCACCTTTAAAGTGCATTTAGGAGTTTTCTAAATATATAGCTAAGTGTTGGAGAAAAATGCTCTTATGCATGGGAATAGTTATGCTGCAGAGAGGGGTTGTTTCCCTTAGCACATACCACATATATACTGATGACCTTTTGGTAAGATAGCTGCTACTATTCAGAACATTTGGTGATTCTACTTCCACGTGGAGTCTTGAATTTCATCATGATGTGTGTTTAGTGCCTTATGATTGTGAATGAGAGTACCTGCTAGACCTCAGAACATGCCTGTGGTTTTTCAAGAATCTGCATGCCATCTCAATTACAGTATCACAACTCTGGTTTATACTGCAAAAGCATGGTTGTGTAACTAGGTTAAAACTAGCAAATTAAATAAGCATATTTAAAAAAACTTACTAAGTTTTGGGTAATCCTGTATGTGTTGTACATCTAGCTTTCTGCCATAAACTAAGCTAGATGGCAGTGTTGTGTGCTAAGGATTTATATATTGTTAATTCCAATGGAGCTGGATTAGAATTGTTAGATTGTTTGTGGGCAGTAGTGTTGTTGACATACTCAGCAGTATACAATAAGAAACTGCTGTAGGCATGTAATTGTGACCCTTTCCCCTTAGCCTAATCTGCTCATTTTTGCACAACTAACAAACCTTTACCCAGGATCCTACCAGTAATAGCTCTGCGCTATCATTAATACATCTGGTTTTAGATTCTTGTACTGTTACTTGGAGCCATTACAAGAGTGTGGAGATAGGGAGATGTACGAATGGTTAGATTCAAGCAGAACTTTTACCAGCCAGGAACTTGTGGAGTTGAATGTTCTTTCAAGAAGGACCCACATTCTTCCGTAATGGATTTATGAAGGAAGCCTGCTCCTCTATTGTTCCTTTATCCCAGGCTTATGTAGGAAGAAGATAGGCCAGGAAGACATTCTACTAAATTAAATTATTTCTATGTATAGATTGAAGGGTAGATACTCTGTTCCTCTTAAATTTGTGCTTAAGCCTGTAAATCCTTGTTTGCAGGTATCCAGGCACACAGGGCAAAACAGTGGTATGGATGGAGCAGGATTTGTGTTTTTATATCCCAATAACCCTGAGTGTGCTTTGAAGATGTGATTCCTATGTATAATATTTGCAGGTCCACCTAGCATTTCAGATCAATTAGTTGTCTCAAGTCAGTTTTAGAAGCTGGTATGCATGTACAGGCTCCTCACTTGATAAGTAACTTTGAATGGTTACTTGTACATGCAAGAATCTCTAATGCAGGACTCAAACAGCCTCCTCAAAAGGATGCCGTACGCGGCAAGACTGAGGGAACTGGGTCTTTTCAGCCTAGAGAAGAGGAGGCTCTGGTATGTGAGGGGATGTCACACGGAGGTGGGTAGAGACCTGTTCTCCCCTGTAAGGGAAGGCAGGACGTGCTCCAACAGAGCAAAACTCAGGGAACCAAGGTTCCATTTAGATGCCAGGAAGCTCTTCCTGACAGTCAGGACCCCAAGGGTGTGGAATGGGCTTCCACGGGAGGTAGTTGAGGCCCCATCAGTGAGGGTGTTCAAAGATGGGGTAGACATGCACATGGTGGGCATGTCGTGAGTGGAGCCAGGGATCAGACTAGATGGCCCGGGAGTCTTTCTGACTCGCTCTGTTTCTGTTTCTAAGTGAAGTTTGCTTGAGCTATAATGTAAGTAAATTCTAAGTACTATCTGAACAAAATATCCTGAATTTGCATTCACACTCATTCGTTAATTAAACTCACTATCTTGATGTGATTAAAAATCGTGCTTAACATGAAAAGTTTGCACATTTTGGTGAGTCATCAAGCGTTGAGAAAACATGCAATACTCATGTGGACACCTGGGCTGTGTGCTGCTTCTGAAAAAGGCTCTTCAGTGTGCTTCATATGCCACATAAATGGAGCATCTGAACTGTAAGGAAAAACCTTTGGTGGGAATGTACAGTGTCTCATTTCTACAGCATCTTTTCCTTGCCTTAAACGTCCACATGGCAGCACTGCAGAACGGTTGCAAATTGGATAACATTCAGCCATGAAAAGATGAGGAAGCCTAGACACGTCCTGCCAATTTTGGGCTATGGTCACCACGGCTTTAGCACAGTTCTGACTTATGATTGCAGTTGGTAGCAATCAGTGACAAGCACATTGGAACAACGTACGAATTATAAGTAACAGCGTTCGTTTTTGCTTTAAGCTCAACCTGCTCTTTCGGGGCTATGGACTACAATTCCCAAGATTCCTGTCCATTGGATATGCGAGCTAGAGTTTATGGAAATCGCAGTCCGCAACGTCGGAGGGCGCTAGGAGGCGGAAGACTAGATTAAAGACCTGTACGCTACTGGGAAAAGGGGCAGAACAAGTTTACTTGGCATGCTGGTCGAGAGACAGCTTGGTTAAAGGGAGGTTGCAAACTAAGGACTTACATTAATTTTAACTACTAACAGTCAACCAATGTCGTGGCTGTAAACACTTCCAGTCCCGCTTTCGGTTCTATCGCCAACCTCCGCAATTCCATTTATTTGTCTTTGCTGACCCAGAATTTCATCCCAACGGTGAAGAAAATAACTTTTTCAAGGGGTTAATCCTATGCATATTTAGAAAGAAAAAAGCCCCACCACACCGAGTACTGCCCACCCAATTTTACTGTAAGTTTTTTTTTTCCTGTCTAAACATACATAAAATTACGCTCAACATAGATCGTTTCCAAGTGTTGCAACGAAACAAAGATTCGCCCTCTATATGCTTTTCTCCAGTCTTGCCCAGCGTATTGAGAAATCTAATCGGAACCGGAAGTCTCACTAAGGTTTTTTTTTTTTTTGGTCTCTCTTTGCCGGAACGTCATGTCTTTTCTCTATGGTATAAAGGGGGAAGTAGCTGAACGTGCAACCGGGAGGTGGTGCGATGTTGAAGATCGGCTTCGCTGTAAGTGTTGATCAGGCTTGCTGTCAGGAGGAAGGTGTAAAAGGGCTTGCTGGAAACTCCAAGTTACGGGGCTTTTGCTTTGTGCTGGCAGGAGACAAGCTGCAATATTTCCTGCCGTAAATATGTGTGGTTCAAGCAGCGTCGAGAAAACTAGGCTTCCCTTTAGTTCGCTCACATTATGGACAGACTAAAAAGAACCCAACCAAGCGCGGGGCAGGCAACGTGTCCATTTCCTGGTGATTTTAAAGACTCCGGGTTTTGGTTTGCTTTCAAGCGACATGGTGAGTGCGCGCTCTAATGGAGAGATCGCCCTGTTTGCCGGGCCAGCAGTCCTGACGCTTGCAGTTGCATCAGATGGGGCGACGGAGCAGGCTCGAGTGAGCTCCGCCGCGCCAGAGTCCACGCTCACGCACTGGGCTGTGTGAGGACTGTGGCCGGATCTGAGGTGCGCGTTTTCCCCCTCTCCATGAACTTCTGAAAACATAACCCTTTAACATCCGTCGGAACCTTCGGTAGGTCGAGAGGGCATCTGAGGTTATTGTGAACGTGACGGAATGGCCTTCGCTGTTCCTGCGTGGCCTCCTGGGTGCGTGGCAACCGCATCCTGCTTCTGTCAGGCTCGGAACTGGAATTGAGGGCACGACTGGAGCGCTGGGTGGGGGCAATCCTTCGTTTGCCGAAGGGCTGGATGAGAGCGCTCTGTCCGCGCAGCTCCATCTCGTCTCGCGTTCATCTGCTGGAGATTAGGTTCGTCTGCTTCGCTTCCCACCACCCCACCGCAACCTCTAGCAGCAGTCGCTCCAGATGGGTTGGACTACACTGCTCAGCATCTGGATTGTGAGCGTTGTAGTGGAAGCCATCTGGATGGCACCTAGCTGGGAGATGCGGAATTACTTTCTTCTGGGAAAAAATAGGGAAGGTGGCATGCCTGCATAAGGTTAAGCAACTAATGCTGGAAGCCTTGTGTAACAACCAGGAGTAAGTAAGCACCAATAATAACCGTCTCACTTTCTTCTGAGTAGATATGTATAGGATTGTATTGCAAATTGTATCTATTTCACAGGAGTTGTTTAAGGGGCTGAAAAGGCATGCAGCTCCCTTGAGCCTTAAGAGTCCTTAGCATTGCACAAACAGTGGCTCTGCTTCCAGTGCTCTGCAGCAACCTTTTCCAACCTGGTGCCTTTCAGGTATTGTGGACTCCTAGCTCACAACTGCCTAGCCTGCATGGCCAATGTTGTACACTAACAACATTTGGAGGCCCCCAGGTTCTTCATTACTATACCTGTTCTATAGCCAGACCTCTATATCCAGATAAATTTTCCAGCTCCTTCCTAGAGTTTATAGAGGACTTGATATGGGTACCCAGTAGTTTAGCTTGGTGTTTCAGTTCACATATATTTTTGGCTAAGTCACTAGTCCAAGAAAAAGTGAATCTGGTTCTAAACTGGGGTGCAGAATCTCAGGCCCATGAGCCACATGTAGCCATCCAGGGTCTCAAGATAGCAGCACTCCTTCCCCTGGTTCCACTCCTTTCTCTAACTACCAGTTGTCCATTCATTTCCTGAGCCCACAGGTTTTTTCTTCCAGTTCTAAAAGGCTGAAATGCCTTTTATTTAGGTTAATTACTGGCAGTGAGAAAAAGCAGCTCTTGAAGAGTCTGCTGTCTAAATTTTCACTTGGGGGAAAGTGGCTGAGATGCATAACGGGGGTTTTTTTGCGGGGGGGGCACGGGGTATATGTTTTTCTAGAATGAGGGGTTAGGCCATGAGTCAAACAGAAGGTCAGATTTGGACCCTGGATCTCTAGTTCCCTGTCCCCAAATCAGTTTTCTCAGACACAGTGCCTACTGGATGTATCAGACTATATCTCCCAGCATCTGGAGGATGTCAGGTTGGAGAAGGCTGTTCTAGATCAATATTTTAAACTATTTGCATTGCTTTTGTACTATCAGTCCAACAAGCAGCAGTGTATGCAATTGTAGGACTTTTTCTCTCTTTCTAACTTCCAGCATGTCCTTAGGTTCTTTATCAGTGTCTGTTTAGCTTGAAGTAACAGTGCCATTTTTCTTATTTTTCTCAGGAATAATGTTACCAATATGTCTGTTCATTCGTTGCTGTGTGAAAGAATTGCTATTGCTAAGGAGCTAATCAAAAGGGCAGAAGCCCTTTGCCGGTCCCGCAAAGGTGGCATAGGAGGAGGATCAAAGCTGTGCAGCAAATTAAAGGCAGAGCTAAAATTCTTGCACAGGGTGGAGGCTGGTAAGGTAGGCATCAAAGAGTCTCACCTGCAAAGTACAAATCTCACTCATCTGCAAGCCATCATCGAGTCTGCAGAGAACTTGGAGGAGATTGTTGGTGTTCTCCATGTCTTCACTTATGAGGACAAATTTGGGGAAAAGCAAAGCTTGGTGGTGGATGTAATTGCAAACAATGGGCATACCTGGGTGAAGGCAATTGGTCGAAAGGCCGAAGCCCTGCACAACATTTGGCTGGGCAGGGGCCAGTACGGCGACAAGAGCATCATTGAGCAAGCAGAGGACTTCCTGCAAGCAAGTTGCCAGCAACCTGTGCAATATAGTAATCCACACATTATCTTTGCTTTCTACAATGGCGTGTCCTGCCCGATGGCAGAGAGGCTGAAAGAGATGGGCATATCTGTACGAGGGGACATAGTTGCTGTGAATGCACTGGTGGAGGGCACTAAGGAAGACCTCCACTTAGATTCTAGTGGATCTGATGATGGAGGTGAGTGCCTTCAGGTGACCAAAGTTGATCGGGACACCTTAATAGCTAGTGTTGCTTTTCCTACAGAAATCAGAGTGGACTTGTGCAATAGAGTCAACTTGGATATTACTACTCTGATTACGTATGTTTCAGCCCTTAGCTATGGTGGCTGTTATTTCATCTTCAAGGAGAAGGTCTTAACCGAACAGGCGGTGCTGGAGAGAGAAGAGAGTGTTCTCCCAGTCCTGGAAGAGTTCATGAAGGGCAAGGAACTGTTTGCATGTGAATCTGCAGTCAAAGACTTCCAGGTCATCTTAGAGACTCTAGGGGGGCCAGGGGAGAAAAGTCGAGCTGCATTATTCATGGAGAGAGTCACTGTGGTGCCCAACCAGCCCTCTGAGCGTGCCTTAAGATTAGTGCCTAGTTCCAAAATCAACAGACGGTCTCTGACCATCTTTGGGACAGGAGATGCTCTAAAGGCGATCACCATGACTGCAAACAGTGGCTTTGTTAGGGCTGCAGCTAACCAGGGAGTTAGATTTAGTGTATTCATTCATCAGCCAAGGGCATTAACAGAAAGCAAAGAATCTTCTGCCACACCTTTACCAAAGCATTGAAGTATGCTTCAATGTGCATGAGTTGTCTTCCCAGATTATAAATTGCTATTTGCACTCTCTGTAGCTGAAGCACTTTTATGAACAAAACCTGAAGGCACAATCCATTGAAAGGGCAGAATAAATCTATCAAGGAACAACTCCTGTCTTGAGTTCCACTGTTTCGATGGCAGCCTTGTGTTTCTTATAAAGGTTACTAATGTCCTTGGTTAAGCACTTTTAAGATACATAGATGTCTCCCATTCTAAACAATGCACGTTAATTTTCATGTGTGATTGAAAGTTCTTAATCTGATTGTATTGTGCTCTGTTTTTGACATAAGGACTGGTCTTTCCTAGGATCGATCTTCAGGAAAAAAAATACTGAGAAAGAAGAGAGAATAAGTGGCAGACAAACCACAAACTAATCAAAGCTAACTACCTTATTCAAATGTGAAAGGTTTTGGCATATTTTAAAATCTACTGAAAATGATGGGTCTACATAAAAAGTAGTAACAGCTTGCTTTGGTTGGATTGTAAACTTTCTATTTTTGTGGAGTCATCCTGATTTTCAATTTGATGGCTCCAGTGTCATTCACTTTATAGGGGATAATTATAAAGTTGACATAGTACAATATATCATTAAAATTTTACTGTCCAAACTGAATCTGTCTCTGTAGTTTCAGTATTTGGAGGCTGGCTTTAAGACTTGCAGACTTAAGTTGTTGAAATCCTTATGTGGCTTGAGGAAAGGGGGAGGCACGTGGTACTGCTCTGTGTATTGTTGGGAACATGGCTGGTGTAGAGTTACTCTGGGTGTGCACGTTAAAACATACAGGCTACCCCAGTGCTGGGTGAAGATGGTGAAGAGGTATCCTACTGCCTTCTAAGCCCCATGTCATGGCTGCCTGAGGTAATGAGGATTGTTGTAAAAGCTTCTAGATAATTCTATTTTGATTGATTTGCTTTCCCATTCTGAAAAGAAAAAATAGGCCATTACCCTAACCATTCTCTTACAGTTCCCTCCATCTGTGTAACATATGCCTGAATTAAATAAGTATGAACATGTATATTAAAAGTTGAAGAATTGCAAATGCATTCTGTGTTTTGTTCCAAAATAAAACATGAGCTTGAGGACCATGCTGAACAAGTATTAAAGTTCATGTGTATTGTGTTTAGGTTAGGACCAAATACTATCACATTTCCTTACTACAGAATGTTTAGCAATAATACAGTGGTACCTTGGCTCACGAACTTAATCCTTTCCAGTGAAGGAGCCTGATTAGCTTAACTGACTTTTGTAAAAAGCGGCTTGCTTAGGAGCTTGATTAGCTTAACAAAGCCATTTGCTTTTTGTAAAACTGCTTGCTTTGGAGAGGAAAAAGGGAAGACAAAAGAATGTTGATAAAGTCAGACAAAGAGGTACTATGAAGAAGAAGACCCCCTAGGCAAGGTCTGGCACTCAGTGATCCCTCCCCCCCATGGGATTAGATAAACATGCATGGGGTCAGACTGAGGGGAATGGGTGAGCAAACAATGGGGTCGAGATTAAGGCAAAAGGTATAAGAAGGATGAGTTGGTGAAATGTGGGGTGTGTCGCTTCCTGCCTGCATATAGGGAGTGGACGCCCAGTTGCTTTGCTCAACTGAATAAAGAAAACTGAACGAATCTCCACCTGACTGAACCTCATTGGCAATTGCTTTAGTGGGTCTGTAAGTCACCTGGCTAGCAGGGACCTCAACACCAGGACTCTGGTTGTGACCCAAACTGGTCATGAGCCAAGTCAAATTTCCCCATAAGGTTCAATGTAAATAAGGTTAATCCAGTCTGTAACTATTTTTTTAATCACAAAAATTTGAAGCAAAGTGACAAGAACAACAAAGATCCCGGCCATTCCTCCCCTCCAGCATGACTGTGATTGTGCCCTGCCTGCCTGCCTGAGTGCGACCCCAATTGTCACCCAATGCAGAGTTCAAGGCCTGAGGCGAAATTTTTCTGAAATTTCTGTTCACCACAGGATTTGGTCGTGAACTGAGGCATTTGTGAGCTGCGGTACCACTGTATCACTTGTTTGCCCTCTGAAAGGTCATTACAGTATGGGCACTTTGCAGTGCTCAGACAAATTGGTTTGTAAATGGAGAGGGTAACTGATACAGAAGAAATGAAAGCCTGCAGTATTTGACTTTGAAAGTCTTTGCTTAGTGACTTCAGATGCAGTCCTAGAATACTAGCAAGAGTGGAAAAAACCACCCTTTGAGAGTGTATACAATCAAAAGAACATTTACAATTTATTCATATAGGAAATGCACATGGCATGTCGTCACACCCGGTCCCACAAAGGACTGCAGAGATGGAGTCTGTAGAAGAAGCCGGTATAACCTACCAGTTACATATAGTTTGGAGGCGGGTGGGGGAAGACCTGTGGTCTAAAGCTTTACTCATTTGGTCCTGACAATGCAGAAAAACTTGCTTCCACGTGAGCAATTATGAGATTGTGATGTTAAGGAAGCTCTGTGGAGATTTCCTGTGTTGGCTGTTTTTGGCACCCACAAGGCCCAGAATTGTGTGTATGTGTGTGTGCACGTACAAGTTTAGGGGGAAATTTTTGCTTTAAGGCAAACTATGTAGAGACCATGTGCCCAATGTACCTTCAACCTTCCATGTAACACTCTTGGGCAGCAAACATTTATTTCCATTTTTAAAACTGGGCCAGCTGAGGTAGTTATGTAGTATACTTCAACAAAAATGAGAGGAGAAACCCCTGAAAAATTCAGTCTATGATAACAGTAGCATACAAGAGTTAGGCTACTCATTCCTGTGGAAGCCAGTGGAATTTTAAGCAGGCTAAATTTGTGCAAGATTGTAAGGCTCACTCAGTGAAGGAAGTTGGGTACAATGTAAGTGGGAATCTTAACCTTCCTGAGAATCTTCAGGGGAATGTGCTCAGTCCATTAGAAACAACCTAATTCCCATTTCTCTTCTCTGGTCATTCTGAAAGGTGCTTGCTGTTTTATTCCAAGCGTTCTAACGCAAATAAGGACATGCAAATAATTCCCCTCAGCGCAACCAGCTTTTGACCTTTTTTGTGCAGCCATCCTCTCCTCAAGAGGTCTCAGATCAAACCATTCCATGTTCCTCCTGTGGAAACTTGACTTGCCCTTCACTTCTGTAGCTCTCTTAATGCAGTTCAGTTGCACAACTTTAAAAGCTATGCTTGCAGAGGCTCTTTCTTCAGCGTTTCGGCGTGATGGCTTTAGTCTAGAATTGTGGGTACTTCAGAGCAGGGCTGGCTCACACGCACTCTGCAAAGTGTCACTGGCAGCGGAGTTGGCTCCGAGGGTTACCCAAGTCATTTCTGTCCCCATCTCCCTTACCTCAGTTCTTGCTAGGCAAAACAGTCTTCTCTTACGCACTACTGACATTTCTACCATCAACGTGATATTTTCTTTTTCTTTTGCTGGCAGAGTTAAAGACAGGAAGGATTTAGGGTTCTTCATTTAAAAAAAATCTAATATTTACAGACTGCTGAGAATGTATGGCATGGAGGATTGTGAGGTTATTACCTGGGACAGAACTTTTACTTCAAGAACTTATGGTGGCCACATGTCCTCCTTTAGAGAGGGCAGTCCTTTGTTTGAAGTGCTGCAGAAGACTATCTCCTATTAATTTGAATGTGCCCTCTCTTTGAAGCATTGCTCTGTCCAAGTATCAGTATTGCTGCCTGTTAGCAGATAGCAGTCTGAAGAGTAGACTGAAAAGCCACAGGCATCTGTTATTTTAATAAGAATAATTGTAAATATGCATCTGTACACATAGATTACCATATACTCATGTCAGGCAAACCAGTGCCCTTTTTGTAGGTGGCATCTTCTTTTGGGTGATTAATAAAGATAGCACTTGGAAAGACAGTCCGGTGCAATGGTTAGAGTGTTGAACTCAGGAGATCCTAGTCCCTATTCAGGTATGAAACTTACTGGGTGACTTTGGGCCAGTCACTCAATCTCACCCTAGCCTACTTCACAGGGTTGTTGTGAGGATAAAATGGAGAGCAGAAAGATTATTCGTCTTGGGTTTCTTGTAAGAAAAAAGAATTTAAATAAAACAGACAGAAAAAAGAGAAATGTAATCGGCTATTATGGGTAGAACTAAACAGCCTTAATTTTGCAAGTACCCATGCAGATTTGTGTTGGTGTGTAGGATTTTTTTTTTTTTTTTTTTGGTGGTGAGGGGGTAGGCGAGTTGCTTAGTGCATTTACATAAGGGAAAACATGGAAGTTCTATGAATAAAAACGTGACTGCATTTTCACAGCACTCCAGAGTGGGATGTATCTATATCTCTGTCTCTCAAACACCTGTAGGCAACTGAGGCTTGCTTTGTGTGAATTCTTCACCATGTGTCCTGGTAGCATTGCAAATGACACCCCTAAACCCAACCCTGAAGAGGCATTCTGTCGCACATGCAGCTTGGTCTGTGTGAAGAGGCAAACTCCATGCCTCATGTCTGGGCAAACACAAAATGAGCCACTTGAATCAGCAAGATTTAGTGTCTGTGCTCATGCCCACCTCTGAGATTTCTGGATGGGCTGGAGTTAGCCATTTGGCTGCTTTGTTTAGAAGCAGATATGTGCATCTGTATCCTATATTTGCATAGTTATGAGTGCTTTTACCATATTATATGGCTTTGGCTTATTAAGAAAGACCTTAACAATTCTGATAGTTTGTAAGAAAGTAATACTGCACTCTTATCCACACATGCATGAAAGAAACTCATGGTAGGCTTTACACCTAGTAAAAATGCAAAGGATTGCATGGTTAATACACAAGCGAAGTGCCAGTATATCCCCTCTCGTTTTGTCACCCCTTTCCATGGGCCAGACTAGCTGGGGTGAACAGAAAATTGAGTTCAACAAGGTCACAGGCTAGAGACTAACTGAAAGACACACTTCCCTGAGCCCTGCTGTGATTCATACCCATTACAAAAAAGAGCTTTAAAGCTATAGCTTGAAGAATATTTATCACTAAGTCCCATTAAAATCAGTACTACTTTGTTCAAAGTATACAAAGGGTTTGAATGAAAAGAGAAGAGAAACAAATGGATTGGTGATAGTAACAAGGCAAACTGCAGGTTTGTGATGTGTTTTATTTTAAGGTGTTTTTTTTTTAAAAGCAGAGGTACACTTGTATATAACACAGAAAGTCCATTGTTGACAAAGTGTAGTGGATCAGATCAGAAGAAGAAGTGTGGATAGCAGTAACACAGCATATCTTTGGGCATTCCCACAGAATGGTTGCCATGGACAAGGGGCTTGCATGTACATAAAATGGGTGGGTGTGGCCAATCACAAAATACTTATTTCTCAGAAGGCTAAGGGAAAACTGGCCCAAGAGCCTAAGTAAAAGCAGAGGTGAGATCTGAGCTCCAAAACACAAAGATGGCACCATGTCAGTGTCTCCCTTAAAAATACAATTAAATCTGAAGAAATAAAAATTGTGCATGGAGTCTGGCAGACACACAGAATGTTCCTGCAAGCATGTTCTTGTTGGAGAGCTCTAATGCATCACAGATTAATAAATAAAGTGAAAAGGGATGCAGGGTGAAATGATTTGAATTTCACTGAAACTCAGGCAATTAGCTTTAAGCCTTTCCAGCTTGAAAACAAGGGAGACCTGGTATTCCCCTCTCCTGTAGAGCTGTTTCAGTCAAGCCAAGATGATGAGGAAGGCATCCATGCAAGTTCCCTTTCTGGTTTCATTTTCTTTTTATTCTAAAGACAAAAAAAATGAAATAAAACTAGAGAACGGGGTTTGCACACTAGACCATTTTTAGCAGAGATGAAATTGTACAGAGCTTCTAGATTAAGTCAGTTTTGTAAATAAAAACATTTTCCTTCCAAAATTTGGTTCAGGGCTATGTCACAACATTGGAGTACCTAACCCAAAATAATTGGCATATTTATTTCTATTATATTAAAAACTGTTCAGTGTGGTAGGGGAGCCAGGGCTCACACACCATGCACCACCTCCTCACTCAGAATTCCCCTTTTCCTCTGATTTTAGCTGCAGCCCAGATGGTAGATGGGGTGGGGATGGGGGC